CGTGTCTTTGGACAGGTGGATGATGATGGTTGGTCTGTGGGAGAGCTGCTGGGTGGCACAGGAGGATTCAGCCCCTCAGCTTTTGCCCAAAAAGATTCTGATGACCACCTAGAACATGACAGCTGATCCTTGTTACTGCATTTTCCATCTCTCACCTATTTTGGAGGAAGATGATCTAGATATGGGGGACAGAGGCTAAAAAGCATAAATAAACGTAACCTATACATACCTCCAGAACGTCTTCAGAAGTGAATTCAGATGTAAAAGTGGTACTTCTTTTAGACTTTTAGATTTTTGTGTAATGGAGGGACTTCTGGAGAGCAGCAGGGCCTGCAACAGGCCCCAGCAGATCCTGGATGAGGCCCTGGAGCAGGCTGGAGAGCAACTTGTGCCCCACACAGGCCCCTGCAGAGCCTGGAGAAGGCCCTTGGGGCTTTCCAGAGGGCAACCGGGCCACATCAGAGCACTGGCAGCCACGGGGACCCTCCATCCCCGGATGCTGTGCCACGTCCTCCCCGTGGGGAACGCGAAGCAGCAAGTGGCATGGCCCAAGGGACCACAGCGCAGGCATGGCTCCTGTGCCAGGGAAGGATGTCCCTGGGGCACCTCCACCCCACGGCTGGCCCTGCGTTTGCTCCCCAGCAGCACGCTGAGTGAAGAGGCTGGGCCTTTCTGGTGTCCCCGCGTCCCTTCCCCAGCCTGAACCGGCCCCACAGGTCTTCTTCTGGCTCAGAGGTGCTTCTGCTGGTGTCCTGCCAGTGCTGCCCATTAAAGCACTCTGGAGCAGTGCTTGGTGCCGGCCCATACAAGGGCTGATGGAGCACACCTCGCTGCTCACCCACACACACCCAGAGGAGCACGTGCTCAAGGACATCCCCCGTATTCACAGCTTGTGCTCCTTGGGAGCATCTCAACAACTGCCTCTTCCACAGGCTGCTTGCTTTTCTCCACAGATGGGAGCACCCCGCTCTGCCCCTGTTGCTCCTCCTAGAAAATGAGGAGCACCCAGATGTTTCTCTTCCTGCGTGGCCCCTTCCATGGCCCTTGCTAGGCCCTGCCAGCCGCACCTCCCTCCCTGGGGAGCTGATCAAAGACTCATACAATTGTCTGGGTTGGAAGGAAGCTTTCAGATTGACTCCAACCATCAAACTAACACTGACCAAGTCCACCACTAAACCACATCCCTCAGCACCACGTCCACTCACCTTTCAAATACCTCCAGGGATGGCGATTCTATCACTTCCCTGGGCAGCCTGTTCCAGTGCTTGACAACCCTTTTGGTGAAGAAATTTTCCCTAATATCCAATCTAAACCTCCTCTGGCACAACTTGAGGCCATTTCCTCTCATCCTATCACTTGTTACTTGGGAGAAGAGACCAACTCCCACTTCCCTACGACCTCCTTCATGTAGTTGTAGAGAGCAACTCCCCTCAGCCTCCTTTTCTCCAGGCTGAACATGCAGCTCCCTCAGCTGCTCCTCGTAACACTTATTCCCCAGACCCTTCACCAGCTTCATTGCCCTTCTCTGGTCTCGCTCCAGCATCTCCGTGTCTTTCTTGTAGTGAGGGCCCCAAAACAACTCCCAACTTGTCCTGTGAAGGACAAGCAGGTGATGGGGAGCAGTCACCAGGGATGTACCACATGAGGCAGCCCTGCCTTATGCCGTATCACACATGAGGCAGGAGGGACCACTCACTCTCAGCAAACAAACCTCCCAGGGGCCAGTGGTCAGTGTGTCCCCTCCTGAGCTCCATCCCGTCACTCATCCCAACAGAGAACTACACTTCAAGCTTTATCGAGTCCTAAACTACCAACAATTTTCTTCTGCTTTACCAGAATTTCTGCCAGCAGCAAACCCCATTTTGCCTCACCTATTGACACTCCTCCATGACTGATGCTGCCCCTGGAGTTTAGCACCTTCCCAGGGAATGTGGATCCCGCCAGGACAACGGGGTGATCTCACCCAGTACCAGCTGTGTCATTCGCCATCACCACACTCAGCAGGTCAGAAACCTGCAGAGTTGCACCTGGGTTGCCAAATTGTTACCAAAATGGATTTGCTTGCATTTTCCTTATCTTCTAGTTTGTATGCAAGTACTGGAAAGGCAGGAGAAGTAGGCACTACCCAAAACCCCTTTGATCACCAGCACTAGGGGTGGCTTTTGGCTGGGAGCATGAGTGTGACCCCACGTTAGACATCTCAACTCCTTACAAGCAACCCAAAGAGTATCCACATACTCATTTCACAATGACATCACCTGCTGAGGGAAAATAGAGAATAAGGGTTTGGGTTTTTTGTTTTTCTATGCTGCCACACACAGCCTTTGCTCTTTCTTCATTAAACTGTCTTTATCTCAACTCACCTTTTATTATTTTTTTTTTCATTTTATTTCCTCTTTCCCTGTTGTGCTGAGGAGGGGGAGTGACAGAGCAGCTGGGTGGGCACCTGGCAGCCAGCTAATGCCACCCACCACACACTGACAGGAGGGGAAATGGTTTTAAACTGAAAAGAGGATAGATTTAGATTGGACATAAGGAAAACATTTTTTAAGATGAGGGTGGTGAGACGCTGAAGCAGGTGTCACAGAGAAGCTGTGGATGCCCCATCATCATCAGAGTTCAAGGTCAGGTTGGACAGGGCTTTGAGCAACCTGGTCTAGTGGGAGGTGTCCCTGCCCATGGTGGCGGGTGGGGTTTGGATTAGATGATCTTTGAAGGTCTCTTCCAACCCAAACCATTCTACAATTCTGTGACGGAGAAACTCGTGTTAATGTCACTAGTTACAGCACTAACACGTTCTCTCACCTCAAGACCAGTGGTATTCAAACACTCATTAGCAAGACACACAATCAGATTGTGTTTGCAGACAGCAATCATTTCAGAACCAGGGTCAGAGGATCCTTTCCAAAGCACCTGTAACACGAGCAAGTGTTAAAATAACAAAATCAAACCTCAGTAACTGTTAAGGGATTCTCACTTGCAGTTTGCAATACTAAAATTTGCTGTTTAACTCAGCGTGGAACACTGGTGCCATGTACTAATACCAATAATAACATCCTAAGAGCCAAAACATGAATAAACCTTTTACAGGCAGATGTAGAATTATGCAGAACGGAGGAACAACGATGAGATATTCAAATAAATGCAAGATGGAAACGCAAAGCCCCCCGTGAGATATGATCAGAAACAAAACTGGAGTTGGAGGTGGGCATGCCAAAAAAGCGAGGAGCGGGCCAAAAAAGGAGGAATGGGAGTAGCTGAGATGAAAGATAGCCAGGCACAAGTGGGACAAAGGAATATTTCCTAGCCCCAGTGCAATAAACACTGGTTATTTGGAACAGTAACTATGCGACATGTTCAGAACAACATTTGTGTTGTTTTCTTTGCAGTAGTTAAAAACAACATTTTTGCTTTATTGTCACGTTTGAGCAAACACTGCCTGTTCCTAAGATCTGCCACTTGCCTTCCACTCCCAGTCTCAGAGACAACCTCAATTCAAACAACCTGCACACACACAAAAAAACGTTCCAAATCACCTTGGCTACCCGCTGTGTATTTTGGACATTTCACTCACAAAATGACAACATTTGGCAAGTATTTCATTTGCTGTTAAAACAGCTCCAATGCTATTTCCACCTCCTAAACTGTGGAGCCAAATCATTTGGTGAGTTCCCATTAAATATCTATACAGACCTGGTTCTGGTGTCCTAACTACTGACCCTACTCCAGAGCTGTGGCTAAAACAATTAGCGCCTTTTTATGTGGCTAATCATGACCTTAAGTTTAAGAAGAAACCAGGAGAAGTCCCTGTTCTAATTTTTTGCTGATCTATTTGGCATTAAGCTTTCCATGTTTGCTTTGTCTTTGCTGTAAGACATTCTACCCCTGATGCCAACGTCATAATTAATTTACAGCACGTTGTGGACAGTCTCTACTGAAAACTTTTGACACCAGTGAGTTTTAAAAGCATGCCCAGCCCTTCAGGCAGCTTCACTGCCACCCCAATATCATGTTCCACACACGCACACAAAAATTTCCACCTAGCAAAGCACATGCATGACTAAGCCAAATATTCTGTAATACTTTGTGAGTGCATTAATGCTCACCCAAGTGTACTTGCCAAGTCATCATCTTTCGTAATGAGCTGACCAGGATGTGGTTTAATCGCATTAAGCCACCAAACTATCAAAGATAATTTGACGTGGCTGAAGGCGATATTCCATTTTTCTGGAGAGGTTTCACAGTCAACTTAGCAGAGGGCTCTACCCTTACTGAGGGCTAGTGACACATTCCCTAATCAGGATCTTAAAGTAGCAGATACAAAGTGTGTTCACATGCGGTGAATGACCATTCAATTCTGAGTTATTTAAAGTTTCAGCACTCTTTAGTACTTCAGAAAGAAAACATGAAGAAAAGCCACAGCAAATTATGGCCAAGAGATTCTTGTTTTTTAAACTATATCGGTTAAAGAATGTTTTTACAAAAAGCTACAAAGAAATTGATTCTCACAGTTTAAGCAAAGATGGGGGAAGAGCTCATCCCGTCTGCCTCAAACATAAATGATTTTGAGCAAAAGAGACTACAGGATAATCTCTGCCTTTTTCTGTAGAAGCCCCAAGCCCGTAGCATTGATGCTTCCGAAAGTAAAGCAAAGTGGTGTCATTATCGACTGAACGCGTAACAGAAGGAGCTTTTTGATGCAGAAACAACACTGCCAGTTTTCACAGCAAAGAGCTTCCTCCTCGTAGGGTTTTACAAAGGATATGATCTGACTAAACACTCCTCAGTACAAACAAACAACGTTGACAGTTTTTCTCCTCCCTTGTCTAAGCACCCTGAAGACAAGACTACAGCTACTTCTACACCTGCAAAAACCACTTATACTGGATTCCTTATTACTTTAAATACAAACAAATAAGTGAACAAAGAAAATTATGAGATGTTAAGAATTTAAATGCAGAGATTTATATATATTCTTAAAAGAAATACAATAAGAATTCTTTAAAAATATAATATGAAACTTTATTGCATATATAATTTTATAGTCATTTGGAAACATGAGAATAAATACAGCAAAACCTTTAAGTTACCAAAGGTGTGAGATATATATCTGAAGAGAATTGACTATCAAAGTGACATAAATCATCGTGGAGATTACCGAACCATTTCATTTCAAACTCTGCAGCTGATGCAGTTACCAACGATGACAGCGCTGAAGGGCCTATGCATTTCACTTCACCCTGAAATTCCTCTTTTAGTTTTTCTGGTATAAGATCCTGCCCCATAACCTGCGAACAGAGTAAGAAAGAAGATGGGAAACAAGAACGTAACTTGCAGAGAAAACAGCAAATACGACATTAATAACAGAGCTTTACAAGAAAAGCCCTTGACACATGAACCACAGGCCATCAGGAGAAGTCTCCAAGTCACGCTCAAGCTGTCTGCCTGTTGCACTCTGCAGCGAGCAGGAGAACTGAGAGCCCAGGCTCCACAGCTGCAACCCCCACCCGGCTTCTGGCTGCGCTCCTGCAGGGGGATGTGTACTCTCCGAGCAGCAGCGGAAATCTCAGCGCCAGCTCCGCATTCAGTGCTCACCTTGCAACAGCACCAACACTCTGACCTCCTCCTGGGGGGTATCGGACCGAGGGAAACAAGGAGAGGAGTTTTTTTTCCCCAACCTTTTCAAAACCCGAGATAGTCTGGGTGCTACTGCCCTCTGATGGATGAAATCCCGCTAGACTGCCTGCCAGTAGGGCAACGGCTTGGCTGCCACTAACTTAAAGCTGCAATACCGACAGCAAAGTGAGAATATCACTGTTTTGTTCCTTAAGACAAAAGTCAGAAACTCTACAAATAGCACTAACAATGTTTAACTTCTCCTCCTTTGTATTTCTTTAAAATGAAACTAAACTAAAACATCAAAACCGAACGAAGAAATAATGTAAAAGGATGTATCTGGCTTTTTCTGAAGATGTTTAATACTTTTTTTCTGGAAGGGTTTAATACTGCTGTGGCCACCAAAGTAACCTCCACTTCCATTTCATGCTTGTGATTCACGTTGTAGCATCTAAAATTCCCAAGATAAAATCTGCATCCCAGGAAACACACAGCAATGATGCAAATACAAGTCCCATGAGAAACTTAACAACCCTGAACCTTCCTGGAAGGATAGTGTCAGCAGAACAGAGATACACCTGCATGACACAAGCCACACTACACAGGCATCACACTCAGTTCCGGGTAACGCACCACCAGGGCAACCCACCCCTGCTAATTTACCTTGCTTCCTGGCACAGTTAATTAGCCGAGGGGAGTGTCACACGTCCATGACTTTGTGCCTGAGCTGGCTAAGGTGCCTCAACCAGCTGCTGTCCACCTGAGAACTCACACTGTGAAACATCCCCTTACCTTGGTCATCAGCAGCAAGGAGTTTTCACTGAAACCAAGTGGAGCCACTTTGTCATCAATTTCTTTCTGACTTTTTATGTTACTCTCCAGCGCAAAGGACGACTGTTGCGACTGGGTGAGCTGAAGTAAAAGCCTGAAATGAAAAAGGCAGTTAAAGAAAGGCACAGCTGGTGAAAGAGTAAGTCAGCAAACCTAAAACCAACCAAAATACAATACTCTAAAACACCTCTTCTTCCTTTTGCCAACAGCAAAAAATGCAAAGAAATGAATACATCCCTATCAATAGACTAAGGGCAGGGTACCCCCGTGCTGTGACAGAAGTACTGAGAATTGCTTTTGAAAGAACAACACGCCAAGTACCTCTGCTTGCTCTGCACAAATATTTTCCTCCCCATGTATTCATCACCCAATTCAGCAGTGAAGCTCAGGTGTGCAGCAGTAACTGCAGTACATCAGGTGTCCCACACGCTTATTAAGTCCTAACAGACACCAACGCATTTTTGCCTATGGCAGCGATTATCTTTGTTACCTGAAAAGCTAGAAATTTGGGGGTTTTAGACAAATATGAAAAATATTCCTTCCCACATAGGCCAACCCTGGCATATTTTCTAAAACCTTTCACCACAGTTTCCTGTTCAAGGCAGTGCCCCAGAAGTCACCACTGCGATTCAGTGAAGGTTAGAAGTTGTGCTGACAACGTGGCTTTATGGGGATGAGGGACCACATCACCAACCACTTGACCAGAGAGAGCCACGGCAGTTTCCAGGGTCCTCCTCACGCAAGGACTGTAAAACATGTCAGCTGAGGAAATACCTAAGTATATTCAACCAAGGAACTGCTGGGACTTAGCAGTATTGCTACCGAAACTGTTTAATTCAAGCTTTATACATAAAGAACAATTTATTTTCTCACTCACATTTACCGAAGTTAAATGAAGCAGGTGTTATAATAGAGGTGTGTATTTTTATGAAGAGAACACTTAAGATGTTAGATGAAAGTTTTCATTTGAGCATTATAAACATAAAAATTTACAAGGCTGAGCCAACAAACCCTTTTGAAATTCAGTAAAGTTTTGATGGGGAAATTAAAGGTAAAATTGAAAGTATTTTTAATTTGTAAAGCATTTTTGTTTCCAAATTTGCATCAACATAATGTAAGAAAGAATGAAACCTCAATGAAAGTGAAACAAACCCATTCCCCCGAATATTTTTTTTTTTAATCAAAACTAGAAGAGTCAATTATTGATGATTGATGATGTTTTAACACAGAACCCTCTTTCCTACAAAAAGCAATATTAATCCCTAACATCCCTTTTCCAGGTGCACTTTACCCTGCACTATGTTTATGCAACATCCACACCTCACTTAAAATCCAACAGACCTGAAAATATTAGACAACCTATTTAATGCCTAAGCTCTGGAGAGGGAAGAAGCTTGCCTGGACAAGTGTATCTCAAAATATAAACCACAATAACACATTGTGAAACTCTGCAGCCAGCAACTGTCTCCAAGCTGAACCATACACACCAACACAAGCGACACAAATTATCTGAGTATAAATGTAGCTTTAATATTCAATATCAGTACTAAATCTAGTAACTCATCCCAAGTAGCAATTAAAGTCACCATCTCTTAATCTGAGGACAATTACAAGCTACTATCTTTTTTTACATTTCTTAAATCTTGCCCTTAACAGGGCAGTTATAACTGCCCTTAACAGGGCAGTTATAACATGTTCTCTGTAAATATTTTTGGAAGTTCCTAAAATGGCTTTAAATACATTTGGTGACGAATACATTACTGAGAGGTAAGAGGGGGAAAAAAATCCAAGGGGGAAAAAATTTTAACAAAACCAGTTCCTAATTATCTTTTTCAAAGATTATGTTTTGGGGATTTTTGTTGTGTGCAAGAGTTTTAGGAAGAGAGGGAAGAAAAGGAAAGAGCATTTTAATGCAGCCCTGTCAATCAGCTGTCACAGAGTTCATTTTTCAACCTCATCCATTATGCAGGATGGGGGTATTATTATAAAATACATTTTCGCTCAAGCACGAGGCTTCAAGCAAATAAGGCAGGTGGCAGTTGCAGAAGGAAGACTGGCCAGCCTTCCCTTTGGGGCACTTCTGCTGCTGCATCCTTAATACCAAACCAGGAAACTGCCAAGCTCCAACAGGAGCATTTGTTGAAGAACAAGCCCTTTTGTATATAATTACTGGAAAAGATTCATATAATAAGGTAATTAAAAAATGCTTTATTTCTCAACAGTGCATGACACTGGTTTACTCTTTCCACTCAGATTTAGGCTGTTCACAGCTACCATACCAGTGGGTTTTGCTTTTTAGATCTGAAGGAATAGCAGGGTGCTTCTCAGCTAGCGTTGCCAACACTGAAACAAACACTTCAATTGAAAATGTAAACTGAAAATATTAAGAAAAATATGCTTTAAATTGTTCTTGATTAGGAGAAGTTAACATTATTCTAAGACTATGTTTAGTTACCTTGCTCTAATAAACGAGGCACATGCCTTTATTCCAACTTTCTTCGACGTGTTCTGCTCCCAGGACTCGGAGGCTGAGCTTTTTCCTTCATTCATCCTCTCCGGTTCTTGGCCGCTGCTACAAGTCACTGCATTCTCCCTCTTTGTTTCTGTAGCAAGGCTGGGCCGAGGCCCTTCATTCTGGCCATCTGATCTGCGAGGCTGCAAATTAATCTCTCTTTCAGTTGATGTTTTGAAACTACTATCACTTACAGTAACCTCTTCGGACTGATTTACATTTGTTTCTGGAATGACTAATGGAGACAAACTCTGTAAAAGGCTCATATAAGCTTCAGCGAGTGACTTCCAGTACCAGGGGTTGAAGGGATGTAAGCAGATCAGTTGCTGCAGACACGTGATCTTTTTTTCTACATCTTCCAGACCCTGGTAAATGGCAAACTGCAGGTTGAGAACCGTCGTTAAGTGATCTGTGTTAGTAGCGCCGTTTCTCTAGAAACAAAAAGATAATAGATTAAAAACAGAAGAACAGAATCATCCTTCAGAGCCTAAGAAAATGTCTCCCTGAATAATAAAACATAAATATCACTGAAGGTAGTTTTTAAATTGTACAAAACTGTGCTCTTAATTTTAAATGATACAACGTGATACAGATCACGCACGACCAAGCTGACAGCACTCCCTCTCGCTGCCTCGTCCCAGTCTGAAAGGCAAGAAGGCCCCAAATGCTGGCATTTGTTTATTTGCCTTCAGAGTTTTATACAGCTGCCCTTCTTTGTAGCATAACCACCTTTTATATAAAAATAAACAGCAGCAGTAAAATTCTAGTGACTTCAGAGCCTCTGGACCTTTTTCTTTATGGGAAAAACTCAATTTGTGGTTAGATACTCTTCTTGGTGGCAGTCTGGCAGCGAGTATATGGAAATAAAAGGGAGTCTTGACCGTCACTTTTATAGTGGAAAGATTTAAGCACTCATTTATCCCCTTTCTTATAATTCCTATTACATTACATTAATTCTGCCTGGCAGAGCATGATATTTAGTCCCTTCCAGGACTACCAGCCTCCCTGCACAGGGAGCTCATTGTGGTACAGGGTGTTCTGATTTCTGAAGAGTGATTATATCTGCAGTGACAGTTACCCTCTGTTTACCAAATACTCTGAGCACTGAACATCCTGAAGGATTATACATATAAGGATTATTTTTCCAGAAAACGGTCCATATAAAAGAACTACTGGCAATATTTTCATATTAAAAGCCTAAAAGAAAGATTGGATTATTTACCATTGTTTCTGCAATATCCAGAGCCTCCTTGTGCCTTCCTAGGTGAGATAAACACCGAGCCTGGCCCTCTTGGACATCTCGTCTCATTGCAATGTTGCTGGCCGGTAAGAGCAGTAAGCAGTTTGAGTATTCACACAGGGCTTTCTAGGAGTGTTGACAAAAAGAAAAGCCAAACAAAACAGTGAGAGATTTTCACTTAAAAGCAAGCCTGACAGTATGTTTTGTTTATGACTACAGTCACGAAGGGAATTCAGGAGCTGAAGGTACCTTCAGCTGTCTCTGGACTTAGGTACTGCCTATGCCACCCCCAGGGCCCCGGTACTACACAGCCAAGTCCAGAGGGGGATGAGCAACCAGAGTCCTAACTGATGTTTAAGCCCTGGCAGGACTCGCCACACATCTGTCTACCTCTCCCCCACCAGGCCTGATCCAGAAGGGATCATCTACTGACCTGGGCAATATGTGACACAAGGCATCTTTCCCCCAACTGCCAACTCAGTGATCAGAGCGCTCAACCTAAACTTGGGGGACCTTGTTTCAAATTCGTGACACTCTCCATGGGAAGGTTTGAACCTGCAAGTACCTCACATGAATGATCAGCAGGTCGGAGAACACCACAAGGAAGGTGAATCTCCATCATTCCTGGAGGATGGTTCCAATTTGCATGAAATAATTAAATATTAATTGGGCAAAGGAAAAAGACAAGAATGAGCAATACTTCTGTAGCTTAATGCTCAGGGCACTCACCAGGAGTCCAATTAACATTTAAATACATTAAATTAAGTATTCAGTGAAGCTAAGACTGGAATCTTAGTTCCTCCCCCTTTGTATAAGTGCTCAGACCAGATGACTAAAGAGCAGTGCTCATTCTCCCATCTCTCAAAATGAATATTTAATTATTCCTTGCAAACTTGAACGGTTATAACAGAAAGAGCTTCCAGGCGACATACCCTAGGTACTTCCCAGCAAATTGGCTGAAATATTTTTCTTCCCTGGTGTTAATCTCACCATTCCTTCTCAAGCAAAAGCAGGGTCTCCCCTCTGCCCAGTGAGTGCAGCAGCCACTGGTGAAAAAGGGTCAGAGAATGGTTGCAGGACCTTGTTATGTGACAAAGAGATATAACCTGGCAAGGACGAGGCATTACAAACCCCAAGCAGATTCTACAGTCATTTATATCCTAAAAATGGACTCAGCTTAGATCACTGCTGTCCTTGGCACTTCCTATCAAGTGACCTAGGCTGACATAAAAATGTATTCATGATGAGTGAAGAGATTACTGCCCCTTTTTACTTATTTCCAGCCCGCTTTCTAAGGTCAGTGCACTCAAATCTGTAATTTTATGTGCAGTCTAGTTCTGGTTCTGTCACATAGATCCAGGTTAGCAATAAGACTGAAGACTAGACATTTTTAACATGAATAACTGTGACAAAAAAGGGTTAGGAAGCAACTGTCTGTTCCACTAGCAGATCTGAGGGGGTGTCATTCCTGAGAGGGCACCACAGCACACAGCAAGGCGCAATCTATTCTTCCTGAGGGTCAGCAGCCATGTCTGACCACAGCCTGAGGCACCCTTCCTCTCAGCACACTTATATGAATCCCTTCAGGGTGTCTCAGCTGAGACTGGAAAGCATCTGTCAGATATAGACAAGGCAACAGTAGTGCTGGAATAACATTAAAAAGCAGAAGTCAGTGCCAACTGAGGTACAAAAAGATCCACAAATCCAATGGGCAAGGCAAAAGTGATGGAGTCAGCAGTTGGCCTGACAGCTTTGAAATCAGGAGCCTATAATGCAAACCACAGCCTGCAACAAGAAGCTATTACAGTCGAAACAAGAGCAGAAGTGGCTCATTTCAACCAGGGAAAAAAAACAAAAGACTGGAACTAGGGCTAGGCAGGAGAGCATCGATAATCAGAACGTGGCTTGGGAAGTAGGCAGCGAGGACAGGGTCCAGGACTACAGCAGGCAGAACAGGAACAGGGAACAAAAATGCACCCCAAAGGCACAACCAGCCATGCAGAGCGAGGGGAGGCAGCACAGAGGCAAGACAATTAATGATGAGGCTCACAAGCCAACTGTCAGGAGCCTGACAACTACAGTCAGCCTTCACCTGACAGTGGGGGGAACTCCGAGAAAGGCGAGTGGCAGCCAGGTGGCTGCCAGCTATCATCTGACAGCCTTTGTGGGACATGGTGTTATCCCCAGGAGCAGAGAAATCCACACACTTAACTCTGGCTGACCATGACCTCCATGGCCACAAACACAACACAACACAAGAGGAAACACAAGAGAAAGTTGCGCCAGGGGAGGTTTAGATTGGATATTAGGAAAAATTTCTTCACTGAAAGGATTATCAAACATTGGAACAGGCTGCCCAGGGAAGTGGTGGAAACGCCATCCCTGGTGGTATTTAAAAGATGAGTAGACGTGGTGCTTAGGGATGTGGTTTAGTGGTGGTTTTGGCAGTGTTAAGATTGATGGTTGAACTCAGTGGTCTTAAAGGTCCTTTCCAACCCAGATGATTCTATGATTCCATGTGCAAGCCTGATCTGAATCAGCTCTGGGTGCAGAGCAGCATTTTTGGCCAGTTTACATTGACTTCACACTGACTCCTGGAAAGATGACGTCTGGCTGGGGAAGGATGCCAGAACACAGGTACCCATTGTGGCCCGACGGCAGAGCAGCCAGCAGGATGGCTCTTCACCAGGTCACTGCCACTGCCCACAGGGCTGCTGTGCTTTAAGCACCAACAAGGGTCCATCAAGCTGGACATAACTGCGCCAGACTCTAGCTGTGGCTCAGCCAGGAGGCTTTTATATCAATCATGGAATGGTTTGGGTTGGAAGGGACCTTAAAGATCTAGTCCCACCACCCCTGCCCTGGGCAGGGACACCTCCCACCAAACCAGGTTGCTCAAAGCCCCATCCAGCCTGGCCTTGAACACTTCCAGGGATGCCCCAGCTTCTCTGGGCAACCTGTTCCAGTGCCTCACCACCCTCAAGAGTGAAAAATTTCTTCCTGATATGTAATCTAAATCTCCCCTCTTCTAGTTTGAAGCCATCACCCTCATCCTATCGCTACACTCCCTTGTACAAAGTCCCTCCCCATCTCTCCTGCAGGCCGCATTCAGGTACTGGCAGGCTGCTGTAAGATCTCCCCGGCACCCTCTCTTCTCCAGGCTGCAGGAGAGGGGCTCCATCCCTCCATCTTTGTGGCCTCCTCTGGACCCTCTCCAACAGGGGTCCATGCCCTTCCTGCGCTGAGGGCTCCAGAGCTGGACACAGCACACGCACACACACACACTCCGCACACCGGGGACTATGAGATCACCCCCCTTTATATCCCCACAACTTCCACCCTACGAGAGCCCTGGAAATACCTCAAACTCCCGCTGCCGGTAGGCCCAGTCCGCCCGGAACTTGCTGGCCGTTATCCCGCCGTCGCCTTCCCCGCTGTCCTCCCCGCTGCGAAACCACTGCGGGCACAGCACAAACTCCTCAGCGAGGGCCGAGGCTGCCGCCGCCCTACCCAGCCCGCCCCTTGGGCCGCCCCCGCCCGCCGCCGCCCCCCGTCTCTCCTCACTCCCGGCTCGCAGTGCTTGGCTCCGCCGGCCGGCCCGGCCCCGCCGGCCAGGCCCCGCTCCCGGCTGGGGGCGAAAAGGGAGTCCTCGAACTGCCAGCCCAGCAGCGGCT